GACGTTAGGTGAGACGGGGCCCGCCCTCAGCCCTCGGGAGAGGTGGAGCCGACCCTCAGTCGTTAGGTGAGGCGGGGTCCACCCATAGCTCTCGGGCGAGGCGGACCCCTCCCTCAATCCTCGGGCGAGGCGGAGCCTAGCCCTCAGCCCTCGGGCGAGGAGGAGCCGACCCCCAGCCGTCGGGTGAGGCGGAGCTGCCCACGGGCGTCAGGCGAGGCGGAGCTGGCCCACGGGCGTCGGGCGAGGCGGAACCAAACTCCCGTCGTTCGGGTAAGAAGCGCAGTAGTGCTCTTGTCCGTCCGGGAGTGTTTAACGTTCGATGGTTATTAGTTCCGCCTCCTTGGGTACCCCGGTATTAAGTCCCCGACAGGTAGTTTCTTTAAATACGTAGGCTCCATGAACTAACGATCATAAAGATTATAAGTAATCGTGCATATCATATACTTGCAGGGTACGAGCCGTACGCACCGGCAACGCGACCACACCGACGTTGACTACACTCCCAATATGTTGCCTACAAATCCGAAAAGACAGAGGCGTTCGAGGGATCCTTACACTCCTAGAACTTAGTTGGTTATGTCGAACGAATATTGTCGTTCGAAACTTACAAACTTAGTTGGTTATGAAGAACTTATGTCGAACCAATGAAAATGTTATGTGGCAACTTGTCAACTTGCGCACGGACTCCATTTATTTGCTTCATATTCGTTTCAATGGGTCGCGGCAGCACTTGTAGTTGTTTACAGCACCGACAGCAGCTACCGTTCAATTGCAATTGAGGTTGGTCGGCTTCTGTCTGCGTCCAGGTCCTGCCGCGCCGTGGGTCTTGGCGCGTCAGTGCCACGCCGTGGGCTATGGCGCGGCAGAACCTGCCACGTCACCGGTCAGTGCGCCGGTCGTCACCACGTCATCCCCCTCGCCGCGCCATCATGCATGGCGCGGCACAGACGTTTCGCCGCGTCAGGGAAATAGGCGCGGTCAAAAGTGTTAGTTTTAGAAAAAAAAAATAAAACAGTGTTAGATTTAAAATTAGTTTAAAAAAGTGTTAAAAATAAAAAAAAATCCGTATAGGCAGATAATAAAAGAGAGGTACATGCATAATTTCACGTGTTCACTAACTTGTCCTCTGAAAGATAGAGTTGTATATGTTTTTATGGACTGTGGGAGTACCTCACCTAATGATAATTCTATCATATCGAACTGACACTCACTCACTGCTCATCACAGATGGTGAATCTTTGCTATCATCTTGTCACTAGGAACTTTATCACTCTACCTAAACAGTTGACACCAGACGTGCTACCTGATCCATTGTCACTGTAAAGGACCTGTCTTTCTTTCCTTTTCCCATTGATTTGTCATTTTGTGGCCAGCTCTTGATCCATCCCTCACCCTCAGAACATATCTCGATCCCTAAGTTCAGGTTGTAAAGCCCGTTTTCGTCATCCAGAATTCATCATATAAAACACTCTGATCTGAACTCTGAACTCTTCATCTAGTCCATTTCCATTTCTTACTGAGGTGTAGCTGTCAGTCGTCACACAAATTTCCTGCAAGATTTAGTTCCACATATATCAACAAAGAGATACATGCTTCTTGCAAGAACATCATATGCGCGGCCAGAAAGCATGAAATGTTGGACATATAAATCCAGTGGCTAATGACAGACAAAAGAAAAGGGTTGTGATAAGTGTTGTGTTAAGCACTACTTCACTATGATCCAACGGCTAATTACCAATTAACACCAACTCCACTACTTCTAATTACCTCACGAAAGCTATGTATCACATCACATGCGCATGATATATTAATTTTCATACTGTCCTATAGCGACTATGATCACTCCTTTAGCTCACTTATGTGTGCCAATGGTCACTCACCAACTGGCATGGCCTTACTCGATCCCCCGTCTGTTTGCAACTCAACTTCGATGTTGAGATAAAGTGTGATACTTTTTAGTGCTATAGGTTGATATGTACTTCCTTGATCTTACAAAGAGATTTATTCTAGAAGTTGGAGGAGATACCAATGTTATTGGAAAATGGCCAAACACCCCTATAAAAAGTTAGCTATAATGTATTTCTTTTGAGGGTTAGGCTAGAAAATATATAGGTGGGACCCATATATTTGTATACAGTGACACTCTTTATGGGATAAAATTTAAATGTTATAGCAACACTCTTTGTGAGTACGGACGCAAATATAACGCCATATAGTTGATTAACACAACCTGTACAATACCTTTTCATAGGTCAAGAAATAACTTGGCCATTGTAAGTTACTCTGCTAGTAATAAATAAATGATGTCTTAGATTTGTTAATAAAAGTCAACATTTCAAACATGAACTACTACCTTTTGTTATAATATATCTGTAAAGCATGACAAATGTATGATACTACTTTTCTAGACAAATCTACTTGTACACTCAAACATCCAAGCTCAACCAGTTAAAAAAGTAATTCATGACCAAAATTTGGGACGGTTAACTTTAGATAACCCAAACCATCACTTTTTTTATTGAAGGGAGTAATTATTATTAAATTAAAAAATGGCAAATCACACTATTTTTTTAGAAAAAGTCTATATAACCCCCTGGTTTAGTAAAGTTTAGGGTGTTAAATACATGGTTTCATAGGTCAGGGGGTGAAGTAGACATAGTACCAAAGGTTATGGGTTACATAGATTTTTTTTCATTTTTTTTGCGAGACCCAGATGCTCATATGTGCGAGTGCACACTCACTCTTATGAAGACATGCACGCACAACGTCATTAAATCCTAAAATAAATTTAAGAAAATACGAGCACTCGTGTTAAGTCGAGGACCTGTACCTGGTGGGCAGGTTCACCGTAAGGAACCAAGCAGCTAAGATATGCCCAGTTCGCATAGCAAAACACACTATGTTTGACCAATCGTACTTGATTCTTTTAAATGGACAACAAAATATTGTTTGGACTCTTTAGGAAGTGAGAACTGCATTGTTTTTGGGATGGACGGGGTACACTACACCTATGTGATGATGTTTGTCCTGTCCACACACATAGGCCTCTTAATTGAATTTCACCAAAATTGTGCTCATTTGCTTCTAACAAAAGTAGTACTGAATTGAGTATTGTCTCATTTGGTTAGCGGTAATTCTACCATTAAGACATCCGAAATGTCTGGACGCCTCGTTCCACTCACTGCCGCATGCGCCACTCGCCTAAAAAGAAAAAAAATCAAATCCCCACGGAAGCTTGTCTCCCCACTCCACGCTCGTGGGTCGCGGCTTCACGGCGCCATGCGGCCGTCCGACGGTCCCAATCCGCCGTGCCGCCGCCTCCATCCCGCGACGCCGCCCACTCCGGCGCGCTGCTGCTGCAGACATCCCCCCGCGCGCCCTCATCCGCCTCGCGGCACCTCCATCTCCCGCTAAGAGGAAGAATCCTCCGCGTGAGGTACGCTGCCAGCTGCCCCATCGACTGCAGCTACCTCCAGACCCAGTCGCCGACACCTCGCCCTCCGCCTCCAAGCTCCATGCGCGTGCTCGAGCGAGTGCAGCAGCGCCTCCGTCCCTCGCCGCGCCGCCATGCTCCGTCCTTTGCCGCGCCTAGGCCAGGCGACCAGGAGAGGGTCATCGCTGGCCAGGCCCATGCCACGCGCAGGCGCAACTGGCCGCTGCCAGACCGCGCAACCATCCTCGGCTACCGGCTAGCCGGAACCGGCCGTTCCCCACTTTACACTGCGTCGTACAGAAGAAGGGCGAAAAACGCATGTTGCAAGCGTCTGTTTCAAGTATTTTAAATGTTTCAGAGGTATATTGCAAAATTAGACCGGGATGTTGCACATGTTGCAATGGTTGTACACGTATGTTGCAAGCTCCTGTTCTCAATATTTCATCTATTTTTTCCGATGTATGTTGCAAGTGTGTTTATCTGGATGTTGCATATATTTTCACACATATGATAAAGTGTTTTATCTGGATGTTGCATATGTTTACAATGGTTTCAAGTGTTTTTTGTAAGTATTTCAGACGCATGTTTCAAATGCTTTATTTGTTTTCAGACGTATGTTGCAATTGTTGCATGTGGATATTTCAAAACTAGATCGAGTGTTGCATCTCCATCCTCTCGCCTTTCTGCTGTCTCGCCTCAGTGTCAAGCGCGGAAAGGCGAAGACAGTCCCCACTGGCATGCGCAGGCGCGAGTTGTGGGTCGGCAGGCGCGGGACTCGAGACAGGGGGCAGCGGCGAGGGCGTCCCCGTCGCTAGCGTCTGGACATTCGGGCGCTAGCCACGCCCTTTGGTTAGGGTCCAAAACCTACCTATTGGTGGGCCTCATTTGGAAAAACTAAATTATAGCTAATTGTTAGATGGGTGGTATGTATGATATTAATTGGGTATCCAAGTAAAATCTCAGCTAATTTTTGCAGCTAATTGTTAGCTATAAGTTCGTATTGCCTAGGATGAGCAGATTTTTTTATCAGAATATCACAAAAGACAAAATAGATTTTATCATGGCCTGGCCAATCGGGAATGAGGAACTTGTGCTATGGTATTCAGTGGATTTGTAGTCGTCATGGTCATGGACAACGTAGGCACGAATATGCACAGTTTTTTCTTTATGAGAATTACACAATACAACATTCACGAACAAACCCCTATGAACGCACGTAAACCCTACCTCTATGAGTATCTTTAAAAACTAAACCGGCAAATTCTCGAGATTGATGAAGTCGTCACAGGTGTCTTGCTGTCGATAGGAATATCGCCTACCATTAAAAACACAACGCTGTTAAATCTTAGAATATTCGCTCGAGAAATCAAACCCATGATCTGAGGTGCCGACTCTCATAACCCCTAGACTACGTGCCCTTTTGCGATGTGCACAGTTGGATCACGGATGGCCTATATAAGAGGGCTAAGCTTAAGGTTTGCTGAATATCATCGATTTATAGCTTACATTACACACGTGGTTAATCTTCAATTGCACAATAATGCACGTTAACAAGGGCACGCCAACCATGCCGGCCGTCTCGGTTGCCGCCGGCTGCTGTCCCGCCTCTACGCCGGCGAACGAAGTCGTCGAGGACATCTTCGGCCTTGTGCGCATCCTCAGAGATGGCACCGTGGTCCGGTCGCCGGTCGGCCCGGTGTTCTGCCCGACCACCTTCCCTGAGAACCACCCTTCCGTGGAATGGAAGGAGGCCGTCTACGACAAAGCAAAGAACCTCGTGGTCCGCATGTACAAGCCGTCGCCGGCCGGCGGGAAGGTGCCGGTGCTCGTCCACTTCCACGGCGGCGGGTTCTGCATCGGGTCGCCCTCGTGGGCCAACGTGCACGCGTTCTGCCTCCGCCTCACCGCCGACACTGGCGCCGTCGTGCTGTCCGCCGGGTACCGCCTCGCCCCCGAGCACCGCCTGCCCGCGGCCGTCGACGACGGGGCCGCCTTCATGCGCTGGCTCCGTGCGCAGTCGTCCGCGTCCGCGAACGCCGCTGAGGCCGACGCCGATGCCTGGCTCACCGAGGCCGCCGACTTCGGCCGCGTGTTCGTCACCGGCGACTCGGCGGGAGCAACCATAGCGCACCACCTCTCCGTGTGCGCCGGGGTGGCGGTGGAGGCCGACGACGCTGGTGAAGCCGGCGAGCAGGACCAGGACCAGGTGACGATCCGTGGCTACATCCTTTTGCTGCCGTTCTTCGGCGGCGTGGAGCGCACGGCATCAGAGCAGGCGGAGTGCCCCGCCGGCGCCGGCGCCGGGTCGCTACTGAGCCTGGACGTGCTCGACCGGTTCTGGCGGGTGTCGCTGCCGGCGGGCGCCACCAGGGACCACCCCGTGGCGAACCCGTTCGGGCCGGACAGCCCCGACCTGGGCTCGGTGGACTTCCGCCCGGTCCTCGTGGTGGTCGCCGGCCTCGACCTGCTGCGCGACCGCGCCGTCGACTACGCCGAGCGGTTGGCCGCCGTGGGCAAACCCGTGGAGCTCGCCGAGTTCGCCGGCGCGGCCCATGGCTTCTTCCTGCACGAGCCGGGCTCCGAGGCGACTTGCGAGCTGATACGGGCCGTGGGCCGGTTCGTCGACAGCTGCGTTATTTCAGCGTCCGAGGCTGCTGCTTGATTAATTAGTTGTGTGCATGTGTGTGTTTTTTAATAAAAAAAAGCTGTGTGAATGTGGTACGAGAATTGGACCCCGGAGCGAGCTGCATCTAGACTGCGTGTTGCCTGCTTTGTGTTTGCACGAGTGCAATTTGGCTTTGTATTATCGTGTGTTTCTCAGGGTTTTTTAAAGAAAACATCAAAATTAACCGTGAGGGAGGATGCTTGTTGTTGATTCTGATGGCTTGCTTTCTGTTTTTTGGAGAGCTTAAAGGCGCGATTTGTAGCTCGGATATAGCCTGACCTGGTCCGTCGTATGCAGCTCACCGCTCACGCGCCATTGGTTGGTTGCAGCACCTTTGGCTGGGCTCGGCGCATGCACCTGAGGAGCGATTGGTTGGTCTGTTTGATGATGTTTTGCCTGCTGTATTGTTTATTCGTGTTAAGTGCTACGTAATCTTGTAAAATGCCTCCTAAAATTCCTATCATATCGAATATTTAGACACATGCATAGAGTATTAAATATAGACTAATTATGAAACTAATTATACAACTTGCGACTAATTTGCGAGACGAATCTTTTAAGCTTAATTAGTCTATGATTTGACAACGTTGTGCTACAGTAAACATGTACTAATGACAGATTAATTAGGTTTAAAAAAATCATCTCGCAAATTAGCCTCCATCTATGTAATTGGTTTTGTAATTAATCTATATTTAATGCTCTTTATTACTATCTAAACATTCGATGTGACATGAATTTTAGGAACGACTAAAGAACCAAACACCCCCTTAGAAGTAACTAAAAATTGTGATTCCAGTTTTGTTAGTTTTATCTTGTCATGCTCCAGCAAGGAAAATTGATGAACCTGGTATTTAGATGCTTTTTTTTTGTGATGTTATGATTTAACCTTGTTTAATGCTTGTTTTATTAAAAAAATGAGTATGGCTAAAATATGTATCTTCTGTGTACGAAAATTTATTATGGCTTTCTGGTGACTGGTAGAAGCTAAGAGAAAATTTTCTATTTGACACTAGAAAAAATACTGCTTTCTTATTTGACACGCAAACTCAAATTAATTTCTATTTGTCACGATCTCAAGTTTTTCTTTCTTAATTGAGATTTCCATTAGTTCTGTGAGGTAGCACTGTTAGATCTCCTAATGGGGCAACAGAAAAATCTGAAATGCCCTTTGAGCAAATAGAAGGCAGGAATCGGGGAATTGGCCCATCGGGTTTCTCTCACGGCTCTTCTGTCGCTCGCCCGTCGTAACCCTAGACTGGGGAGGCGCCGATGGCTCCCGAGTTGTCAGCAATAGCCAACAAAAGGAAATGTCATAACTAGAAAAAAAATTATAGGGGTAAAATGGTCTTTTTCTTTAGGACTTAACACCGTTATAGCTCAAAACTAATGGAAGTGTCAAATAGGAAAGAAAAACTTGAGATAGTGACAGATAGGAAAGAATTTGAGTTTGGGTGTCAAATAAGAAAGCAGTATATTTTCTAGTATCAAAAAGGAATTTTTCTCTTGGGCCGTGTTTAGATGGCCACTGAATCGGCGCCGCCGAATTCAGTCGGTACACTGTAGCTACTGTAGCGTTTTGTTTTTATTTGGTAATAATTGTCTAATCGTTGACTAATTAGGCTCAAAATGTTCGTCTCGTAAAGTACAACTAAACTGTGCAATTAGTTTTTGATTTTGTCAACATTTAGTACTCCATGCATGTACCGCAAGTTTGATGTGATGGGGAATCTTCTTTTTGCATAGTGCCAAATTCTGGATTTTAAGGGAACTAAACATGGCCTTGGTTGCATCCCCATCAGATTCGCGCATATGCATGTTGTACGAACTGATGCTTACCCTGGCTCCGGAAACGAAACTGGATTTCTATTCTCCGGAGCCTGTCTCCCAAGATCAAGCCAAGCGGTATTGAGAAGAGAACCAATCATGTCTGAAGAGCATCTTCAGCAACACTACCTATCCCACTACCTATCCCCAATTTTAGGTAGTGGAGGACAAAAAATCTACTCCAGCAGACTACCTACTAGACCTAGATTTGTTGGTTACCCAAATATGGCGGGCGGCCTGGTTGCCCACCTCGGTTTTTCGAGGCTGGGCAGCTGGGCCAGCAAGCGCCTCGGTTAATACTTAATCGAGGCAGGCAATGTAAAGAAACCGCATCGGTTAATGTGTATTAACCGAGGCGGTTGCCCTAACGCAACCGCCTCGGTTAATCGATTGGAAGTTATGTTGAAGACCTACAAGACATGCTAAAACTCTGAGACACCAAAAAGTAGAAGCCCGGATGTGAAGACAAATGAAACTAAAGCTGAGACAAAGAGATAAATGAATTGGTCTTGTCTTATGATTTTGGATTTTCTGAAATTAATATGATATCAGTTCAAATCTGCAGGAATCTTCATTAGCTTTTCAAAAAGTCCTTGCCCAAAATACGAAAGCGTGTCGTAATGAAACAGGACAGGAATTTGTCCAGTGCTATTTGTCCAATGCTCACAAAATCAAGCTGGTGCTAAAAGAACAATGAGAGCTATTTGTCTGCTGCTCTTTCTCGGTTGCTCACCGGATAATCCGATGCTCATAGAAAAGTATATAATGGCTAGTTTTCAAACAGCTAGTCGACCTGGCACCACCAAATTTGTCCTATGGTAGGCACCGGATCGTCCGTTGCTGTGCAAAAAGTTACAGACTCACCACCAACTGCTAGTTTTAGTGTTGGGGGCTATAAATACCCATTGCCTGGCCATTTGAAGGGTGTAGGAGTTGAGGAACATACCAAGGGAGTTGAGGCTCCACTCTAGTGTTCTTGCCACCATAGTGCTTAGTGAAATCACTCAGTGATTAGTGTAGGTACTTTGCAAAGTTTTTAGGCTAGTTAGACCATTGCTAAAAGCCCTTGCTCTAGGTTAGGCTTACTATTAGTGAGGTTTGCATACCTCTTACTCACTTTGTGCTTGTGCACGCCATTGTTATATTTGGAGGGGCTTGTAGTCTTGTGAGACCACACCAACCGTGTTTGTGGTACGGCCACCACCGTGTACCGAAGGGAACGAGGCCTAAGTAGTTTTGCTGAAAGATCGATAGTGAAGACAACGGGGCAGTTTAGGAGAGGCCATATCCGAGACCCCACTTGCGCGTGGGGAAGGCCCTGTCGCTATCCATGGAGATACCTGACCGGGAGCTTAGCCCTTGCGAGGGAAGTGTGCTTCTCGATATCTAGGTAAAAATACCAGAGCCATCGACGGGAATTTGTATCTCTGTCTAAATTAAACTTCTGCATTTATATTGTCTATTTAGGTTGTGTGCTCTATTATTCTAGTTTAGCTTGCTAGGCTAGTTGATAGGATTGAAACCTAGGTAGCATAACTCTTTTGTGGTAGAGATAGCAACACATCTAGCAAAACCTTAATTGCATATTTAGATAGTTTTTTATTGCATAGGTTTTCTAAGGTTAGAAAAGAGGCCATAGTTAGAGGTAGAGTTTTAAGTTGCCTAATTCACCACCCTCTTAGGCGTCACAGTCCCTACAGAGGTCAAAGAGCAAATGCACAAGTATCCAAAACTTTCTGGGACTAGCGAGTTATATATTTAGTTCTCTTTTACTCACTCGTATATTTATTTTATCATAGGATGATGGAATTGAGGATGAATTCTTTTATGGAGGGGAGAATGTGACACATTCAAAACTGAAATAAAGTGGTTAGAAGGGCCAAGGCCCAGCCAACCCACCACCACCCCCAAGCCAAAGTCGCCCAACCCTAGAACCCACATACCTCCCCTTAGGTGCCACCCAACCCCCAAGCCCAAGTCACCCAACCCTAGAACCCACATACCTCCCCTTAGATAGATTGTTTTATTACATAGGTTTTGGCTAGGTGAAAATTAGAGAATATAGTTTAGAGTAGAATTTTAGAATGCCTAATTCACCCCCCCCCCCTTTGGTGTCATGATCCCATCACCTACTAATTATCTCTTTGCATCCACCAAATATTATGTTGGAATAAGCTCTTTGAGTACAATGGTACTCACGATACTGTCTTTAAGCTGCTTTCTTGGTGCCAACAACTCGGTGATCACTCATGCCAAGCTTGAGTGAAGTCAACGACTTAGCAGAGCAAGGGACGGGAGGCCTCATGCGCTACATTTAACTTTGATGGAGCGAGTATTGCGTGAGTGGACAATAGAACTTGGGCTATGTAAAGTAGTTGGGGTTCGTTAGATATGCTTTTGCAATTATGTTAAATATTCACTTCCATTTAATTTGTAAAGTTTCTTATTGTATTGTTAGTACAATCTTGTGCCTGATGATTCTTGATGGATGTTCTTATAGCGTGTTACCTACAACTTGATACTGCGGTTTAAGCTACGCTAGTGGAGGTCGCGGGTGGTGACTACAGGGATCCTCCTGCTACTGTTGAGTTGGTGCCGCATTGATTGAGAGAGTGACACATGGTACCAGCTGGGCAACTGCAGTGGAGTCCTCGCATCACCCGTGCCGAGTCGCCCCTTCGTGAGAGAGTGAGGAAGAGATAGGGATGATTAAAGGAGGAAGAGGGAGGGAGAGAGAGGGACAAGTTGGGAGAAAATTCACAAGAGAGTGCGGCTTGTAGGTTCATGGATCCGCCACCCATCATGGACACCATTCGCGTGGTGACACTTAGGCTTGTGGGCCTGCCTGTTGGCCACCCTCAACAAGCACACACGGGGAGAGAGGTACTACATTTTCATCGACGGTTCATATAGTTTAAAGAAACCGGTGGTGATAATGGCGTTATTAGCAAGAAACATTTCTGTGGTAGTATACGCCAAGCACGATAAGGGACTTACAACCACTAGTGGACAATATTATTAAAACGGTGGCATGATGGATTGACTTCTTTCCTATTGTACGAGACTTACTTTTCTTAAATCATGTTTAGTTACTATTCCTGTTATGACGGCATCCCCAATGCCAGGCGCAGGCCCAATAGTAGCTAGGGGGCTGGCTCTGTTAAGGGGCTTAG